GAGTGGGCTGCCCCTCTCCCCTCAGAGAGGATGTCTGTGCTGGGGAGGGGGCGTGGGGGTGCAGGGATGAGGAAAGGAGGGGGGAAGGCACGGCTACAGGCTGGCTTCCTGGGGCTGGGGTCTCTGCACCAGTTTCTGTGGCTGGAGGGTGGCCCTGTCCTCCTTGCACCCCCCCACCCACCCAAAGCGACCCAGGGCTGAGGCCTCTGCCCTATGGAAAGCCCTGAGAAACCATCTTGGGCCGTGGTGTGTAGCGTTTCCCCATAGTGCCTGGTAGGGGCATGCTCTGGGCTGGGAAAAGGCTCAGCTTGTCTAAAATGGCCACCTGCCTTATGACCCGGGGTTGGCCCCGGTGCTGTGTACCCTGGGGCTCCTCAGAGCAGCCCTTTGGCCACCCAGGTCTGCTCCCGAATCTGCTGCTCGCTCTTGTGGGCCCCAGGGACCTGGGCAGTGGAGCTGAAGACAGTGAATCTGGCCACAACATCTGTGGGGCAGCCTGGGGATGCCTGCATGCCCAGGTGGAGCAGCGTGTCCCATGGGCTGTCCCAGACAGAGCACCTGGCTGTCTGCATGGCTAGGACAGGGCAGGATGTGGCCACCTTGTCTCCCAGCTGGCTAGTCCAGCAGTTAGCAAAAAGTGCTCCTTAATGAGCCATCTGTGGTATCAAGTGCATATATAAGACTCGCGGCACATATAGGACCTGTGCTCACCTTGCAGAGCAGATCTGTGCTCCTGTGTGGGGCAGAGCAGACCTGCTGGGTCATTGAAGCCACCATTAGGGCTGTGGAACTGCCTTCATGGTCTCAGCCTCTCCCTGCAAGCAGACAGGAGATTGGGGTGCTGGCTGAAGCCCCCCTGCTCTGGCATGTGTTTCCTCACTGCCTTACAAACAGGCTCTCTGCCCCGTGCAGGTGATGGGGCAGTGGGCTCCGGGCAGTTGGTATTTGCTGCATTTTCATACCTGTTGCTCGGGAAGTGGAACAGAGTCCTTGAACGCTCCGCGGTCACACATTGTGTGCGCTGGAGGGGCAGCTCCAAGGGCACCTGTGCTCCCCCACCCCTCCAGGTCACTTGGCAAGCTGGTACCTGCCAAAACAAGTTTCACACCTGAGTGACTTACATCCAGCAGGCAGGTTTGCTTGCGTTCCAGTGGAGGGATCTCTTCTTAAACCGTAATTTTTTGGCAGCCTTTGAGCGGCATGTGGGGTGTTTGTGGACTCACTGGATGTTGTTCTGGTCCCTGCAGGTTGAGAGTCTGAACCAGGCCATCTTCCCACGCAGCAATGGCGCCCACGCTTGCGACCGCCCATCGCCGGCGCTGGTGGATGGCATCCACAGCCATCATCGAGAACCTGCTCTTCTCTGCTGTCCTGCTGGGCTGGGGGTCCCTCCTCATCATGCTGAAAGCAGAAGGGTTTTATTCCTACCTATGCTATGATTTAGGTAAGGATGCTCTGGAGACTTATTGCTGGTGAGGTTTACTGGTGTGGTTGCCTGTCTTAGTGGTGTGGAACTGGCTAGAGTAGGGCTGAGCTCCAGGTCAGTCCTGGAGTAGAAGAAAGGGATGCGCACTTCTTTCCAAAACCTGATGGCATCCTTGTGATGGTGTAATCTGCCTGTATTTGCTGTTGCTTTGCGGATTGATTGGAAAAGAAGCCTTAAAGATTAGGTAAAGCTCTTCTGGACAGCCTTTTTCACTTGGCCATGAGTTCTTCCTCTGTTTGGTGGCCTGACTGATCTCTGCAAGGGAAGGCCCATTGTGTTCTGGAAGATGATGTTTTGTGGGAAGGATGATCTGAGCTTCTAGGGGGGGAAACTATGGGCACTCCTTCCTTAGTAATAAGAGAAAATCGTGATTGAAAATGAGATTGAGGGAGTCCAGTGCTGTTGTTGAAGAGAAGTTGCAGAAGTAAATGCTACTGATGTTTTGTTCCTCTCCCTGTTCAATGCCTAGGAGGTGCTCAAACCAGGATGTCTCTCTATAAGGGAAGCGGTTTTCCATGTTGCAGACACAGTCTTGCAGGGAAGAGGGCAATTTTGTGGTGTAGGAAGGATAACCCTGAGAAAAACAACATGTAGGTGGACATATATCCCCAGCCTGGGCATGGAGAGGATTGTGGTCTGGGGAATCCCACAGTGTGGTAGGGTGGACAGTGGAGTCAAAAGAAACTTAAGGGCAGAGGTGCAGTGTGGATTTGGAAACCTGCTTTAGTGACAGGTTTACATGTGCTCTGTAAAGGGAATAGCAGAAGGAAGAGAGGCAGAAGCTTGATGTCTGGGCTCTGTCCAGAGATGTGTAATGGTGGATGAGATTAGAAGGTGGATCAGTCCATTCAGGGCTGGGGAGCCTGGAGATGGAGCAGGAAGGGAAGAAATAGGTGGAAATCAGAGTGTGGACCCCAGAGCTCTCAGTGGGTAATGCCTGAGAACAGCCTTGGAAACAAAGTGTAAGAAAAAAGTGACCGAGTAGTTGTGATGATACTTTGTTTTTTTCTCATTCATCAGCTACTTGTTATGGCCTTCTCTTCTGGTTTGTGGGCCTGTGGGTTGTTGCCTCAGTCCCACAGAGCCTGGGTTGGTGCACCTGGAAAACGTGCACGTTTGAGTCTTCTACTGGCTGTAGCTTGGCTGCTTAATCTTCATCCTATGCCCCACTCATAGTGTGAAGCTTCCAAGGGTGTCTGTGTCACTTGGGTCCCCAGTAGCGCTCCAGATTGCATGAGGGAGAGCCCTCAGCAGTGGGAGACCTTTTAGGACTTCTGTTCCAGGCGTGCTTGTGCCAAGCCGTGGTGACTTTCTCACAGGCCTGTGTAAGTGATCTCATTAAACCTATCAGGTGGAGGCTTTCTGCCACTGAGATAAACCCCATGAGAGTCGATAAGCAAATGCTGACTGGCTCCGAAAGCCGCCACCTTCCTATCTGCTTCCTGAGATGTGCCCTGCTGACAAAAGTCCTGCTTCACTTAGGACCTGCCTTCTACTCTTTGCTTTGATTGCTTTCAATTCATCTGCCTTTGCTCCAAATCAGCAAGATTTGCCTTGGATTCTCACCCATGTTTGCCAATCTATGGTCTGTCTGGCTCTCCCCATGGGAGTGCCCATGCCAAAGATCACAGGGAAGATGCAAATGTTTGGACTGTGGTGAAATTGCTGCCCTAGAGGCAATTTCTTCCTCCTAATGACCAACCTGTGCCTTGAGGCAGGAGAACTTAATCCCTGAAAAGAAATTTATGTAGTCAAATGTTCTCATTGTCCTCAAATATCTGGCCATCACTGCTGAACTCGTGGTGGCTTGTGATGAGCACGGAGGACCAGTTATGCTGGTTTCCTCCAGCATAATGGAGAAAATGGCTCATCCATGCTCTCTCACTTTCCTTTGTCTGTGTTTGGTTTGGTTTTTTTGTCCTCATTGTAATAATCCCAGTGGTTTGGTGGGGAAAAATCCTAGCTCAGTGTGGGGACAGCAGGCTCCCTTGCAGCGGTCACTGAATGAGCAGCACCAAGCGGAGCTTGACCTTTGCTGGGATTAGGATGGCCCGGTGGTTGCCTTTTTCAGCATAACCTATTGAATCCATCAGCCCAAGTGGGTACTTGGCTGGAAGGTTGGTGCAAACAAATTATAACTAGTAGCCTTTGGGCACTTGTTGTTCCTAATGCTGCTGTGTGCATGTAAGTATTGCAAAAAAAGAAAAAGAGGACTTTTCCTAATGAGCCAAAGGTTCTTGGCAGGGCTTTTCGTTTGTCAGCAAAAGCCCTTGCACTTTGTGATGCCCTCAACAAAAAGAGGAAAGCTAGACCTTGTCCCTTCTGCAGGCTCTCCTCTGAAGGTAGCAGCAGTTGCCCAGAAAGCGACTGCAATTTATGAAGAGCTCCTTGTCTTCCTGTTGCATCCCCCTCCCTTTCTCTGCCTGCCCTTGGCTTCTGCTATTGGGTTTTCCTCGGCCACCGTGCAAACATGTGGGGTCTGCCAGACTCTTGACTCGGTTCCGTGAGGTTAGAGGTGGCGACCTAGAAAAAAAAAATCCACATCAAAATAACAAATATTTTTGAAGCAGTTGTGCAACAGGGTTTGAGTGGGGGGTTGTACCCGTTCTGAGCGGCAGGTTTGGCCACATCCTGAGAGGTATGCTTGAAATTTGCTGACAAGGAGTCTGGTACTAGCACTTTGTTCCCATTTTAATTTTACTACACTACTGCTTGGCCTTTAACCAACTGAAGCAGCATCTTTTACTCAGTGCAAGTGCTGATCCTGCAGTCTTTATCAGGATTTGGGCCTTATCAGCTGTTGGGGAACTTGATCTGTTCAGGGTCTTGCATTGCCGTGATGTCATCGGAATTGGGAAGCTCAAGGCTTGGGTCTTAGAGACAGGTTTTTTAAAAAAAAATAATTAAAAAAAATCTTGAACTTGATAATCTGCTCACAAAGAGCAGAGATAAGGAGCCAGCTGAACAGAGGGCCTTCCTCTAAGACAGGGCTGCAGAAAACCAAAGGCACGATAAGCTAATTCACTTACATCAGGTTAATGCGCCTTATCACAGGCACAGGAGGAAGATGCTGCCTGACAGCTCTTTGCTCTTAGTTATTTGGGGTCTGTGGTGGGGAACTTGAAGTCTGAGGGTCCCTTCTAAGCTGCTAACGTTTGACAACGACTTGTGGAAAGGCTGCGCATATCACCCTGTAAACAGGAAAAGAGTAAACGTGGTAAATGTTCAGTTTCTACAGGAAACATGCTATGTTGATTAGCAGCTGTCGGTGGTATCAGGGAGCTGCATGGGAAGGTGCCGGCCCTGGGTGAGAATTGCTGCAAAATGAAACTGCAGCTGGGGAGAGATGGGGATTTTAACTGGAGGCTGTGACCCAGTTCTGTGAGGCTTTTCAACTGGGCACTCAGAGCAAGGGTCCTGGAAGTTCAAGTGGCTGCGAGGAAAACCCAAATAAATTGCATTTGCAGTGGTATAAAGCAAGAACATCTCCTCCCAGTTCCCAGAAGTATGACACCATCCTGAAAAGAGAAAACATGTTCTTATGTGGGCAGACTGCAGATCAGTTGTTTGCACATGTCTTTCACTGATTTTTTTTTTTTCTGTCTTTAAACCAATGTTCCCAGACTCTTTGGCTCTGATTTATTTTTTTTTTATTCCCCCCTTCTTTTTTTTTTAAAAAAAAAAAAGAGGAAGGTGAGGCTATGCAGGCTATGTCCCACTGAGCTATTGCTAGGGGTGTCTTGCCTGCTTGGCTTAGTCTGATCCATGAAACAAGATGAAAGGAAACCTCCTCTCAGCCATCTGAGGTGGCAGTCACTCTTGAAAAAGCCAGACTTGTTCCTCTGGTAACATGGTCTGTGCCTGGGATTTGAAGAGGTCAGCAAAGAGTAGTTAATGATTGACCCTCTCATGAAACCTACAGCACTTAATTTGGGAGAGAGGATGACTTTAAATGTTCCAGTAACAGCCCGAACAAATCCCAGCAATGAGCTTGACATAAATGATTACTGAGGCAGCCTTCCTCTCACCTAAGCTGTCATTCTTTAAATAGTAACTTGAACTACTAATTGGGCAGTAGAAATCCTGCTGCTTGTAGGGGGAGCGCTGTAAAAATAGGCAGTATGTTCTTGTAATTGGTGATAAAGACTTGCAGCTTCTTCTGGCTTGGCAGTGAGAGAGCAGTGAGCGTACAGGGACCCAGCCTGTGCTGCTGGCTTACCCGGGTGCCACTCTTGCATGTCGGACCTGGCATGCCTGCATGCAAGGTGGACTTGGCAGGAGAAATCAGGGAGGGCACCACTGTTGGCACAGAGTCAGCCCTTCCCCAAAGCACTGTTGCAGATGGAGCCAGGCACGTAGGAGACTTTCCCCAGCAGTGTGGGGTGTGCTGATCTGGAACAGGATCTGAGCTGTGATTGAGGGAAACGGCTGTTTGCCGTAACTAGGTGCATCAGGTAGGTGAGTAGCTAGGCAGGTTCTCTGCCCATTAATCTCCTCCTAGCTGCATGTCATATGCTGCCACTTGCTCTCATATGCTGGTGACCTGCTGGCACAGGAATCTCTGCTCCCCAATGAGATGGCTCCCGGCTGGACCCCATGCACGTTGCACACACCTGCAGCCCCTCCAAAACGTTCTATTTATGGAAGTGGCTGGAAAAGGATCTAAGGGTGTCAAGGTGCCAAGGGCTGCTTGAATCATTTCCATTACGCCTCAGTGGATCTTCTCTTGTTTCTCAGGGGCTGCTTCTATTTTCACAAACAATTTGTATTTCCACATAGCACTGTTGTCTGGCCCCTCCTTGGAGCTGGCGATGAGCAGCTGTAAACAAGGTGGTTGGTACAAGCAGGGACTGAAGTTTGCTGCCTTGTTCCCAGCCTTCCTGGCTGCAGCAGGTCTTCAGAGAGGGCCAACTTTCTTTGCCATTTCTGAGCTGTGTCCCCTCTGCCTCCCAGTGTTGCTGCCCATCGTGCATGCCATCAGAGGGTCTACTAAGCAGGCATTTGCTGTGGAAGCTCCTTGGGGTTGTGTTGCAACTGTACACATCAATACATTATCAGTAATTCATCTACTCCAGCTTTAAATGCTGAATACTGCTGTTTTGAGACCTCTTCGTGGGGAGGGTTGACAGACTCATGCAGGCACAAGTTATAAGGTCACTGCATTGTCCGTGTCCCTCCACCCTTCTTCCACTCCAGAGCTGAGCTATCTCTGTAGAGTGCTGACACAGGGAAACCACTACTACTTTGTCACTCTCTTTATTCCCCTCCCCTTGTTTTCCCAACTTTAACCTCTCACCCACATCTGTTTCCTATGAATTTATCTCTGTGGAGAGCCCAGAAAGCCTTGATGCTGTGGGTGAAGCTGTGTGCCTGCCTCATGGAGATGCTCTCAGAAGTCAGTGTTTAAGAACCTGGGCCACACCAAGAGGAGATAGTGAGGGAAAGATTGATGGAAGTGATTGAGATTGTGAAAACTGCAGAGACCCTCCCAAGTCTGTCCAGGACTGATTTCTAAGGGTGTTACTTGGGAGCCTCAGGCTGGAGTGCTGTTCTTCCTGCAGAGGGGATGCTAATGTGGCCTTTTGGGGATATCTCTGTTTGCTTACTCTGGCTAGCCAGGGCAAGAGAAGGGACAGATTAAGTTATCAATCAGGAGCACATGGCAAAGGGCAGGAACAAACAGTCATCGCTACCCACAGGCAGTTTGAGATGCCTAAGTAAAGGTGTTGGTGAGAGTAGTGTAAATGGAGAGAAACGCCGTGTGCCTTCCCTGGAGTGCTGGGAGGGGCAGAGGAAGGTTTGCAGGCAGCTCATAAGCTTCAGATATCAGCCTCTGAATTCCTGCTAATACCCAATGTCTGGAAGGTGGAGTGTGATTTGTTTGCAGTGGACACAAAGCTGGGAGGGTTGTTTTGGCCAGCTCGGAGAACCAGGGTGAAACCAGGAACTGTAACGGTGCTGAGGCTTGGGTAGAAGGGAAGGAGTTGCAAGACGGGGCTGTGTGTTCTCCAGAGACACAGTGAGGGCAAGAGCAGCCAAGGGGATCTCCTTCACAAGCTGCACCAAGCAGTGAATGTGAAATCACTTGTACGTGAGGGATTCCTGCTAATTAACTAACCAGGGCTTGCTGGGAATCTCTAGTCTTGCTTCATGTGGATGGTTACGTAGGTGACTTCTCTCTCTTTTTTTCTCCCTTAATATTGAACTCTGTCAGATCAATTATTAAATATGGAGGAGAGAATTTTATGTCACTGGCTTGCAGCAACAGTAAGAAAGCAAGTGCTTTGTCATACCAGCAAAGGTTACTTGTAAGTCAGATAAGCATTGGGAGAATGAGAGGTGGAGTGCACTATGCCCCTGGGTTAATGAAAGTCTAAAGGCACACGTGCTCGTTTGAGGAGTTGTAAGCCACCTTGGGATAGGCTTGTAACAGGAGCAGAGTTGACATGAGGCACTGAAACTGCTACTGCAAAGAAAAATGAACTTCTTGTTTCCTTTCCTTTTTTTTTTTTCTTCTTTTAACTGTCCTGTTTCTGTCCCTGTTACACAACGTGGGCTCTGTTTAGTGTGGGAGTTTGCATGAGGAGTTCCTCATGTAAGGACAAGAACAGAAAGCTGGAGATATAATTGATCTGTATGGCCTAAACCCGTTTGGAAAGAATAGGAAATGCTAATTATGGGACAGAAGTTTAAGATGCATCAATCCTTTAACAAACAGAGAAGGCAGGTGAGCTGCCAGCCCCCCTGGGAGCAGGGTAGTTAAATCCAGGAAGGATTTTTCCGAGCCAAGGCAATCGGGAAGCAGGGTGACTACTGCAAATCCATTCCTCATCCTGATGCCCGCAGTGAGGATAGGAAGCTTTTCGTTTGAGCAGGCTGTTGCTCTGTGCCAGGCCCCGTCAGCCCAGCGTCTGGACCCAAAATAACTGATCTGGCTGTAGTTGTCGCTCCCAGTTCAGTTAGAGAAAAGATCTGTGAGAACATGCCAGTTGTAGATAGGAGGACCTTATTTCTATATGAGTCCCTTCAAGTTCTGCTGGGTTTAGTCCCCTGTAATTGCCAGGTCCTTGCTGTATATAGCTGTTTTCATAAATTAATGAATCTGTCCTGAGGTTGGTACCCTGCTGCTGCTTGGAATGCTTGTCCCTTGAGTGCCTGTGCATCCTTTTCCTGCTCCCAGCTGAGCTCATCAGGTTTCCCTTGTCCTTCTGCTGCTGCTCTTTCCCTTCTCCATTTCTCGCTGTTTATCATAAAAAGTGGAGTGTGGAGGGTATATGCCCAGTGTGTTGTGGCACCCTGTGTGTGGGGCTTTTCTCTTCCCTCCTTCCTGCAATGCTGCAAGCCTCATCCTAACACAATACAATGACGGTTCTCTATCCTCATTGCAGATGGTGCAGAAAACATCACCAGCAGCCCTGAACACAAGAACAGCACAGATTCAGAGCACAAATGGCCTTCCTGCAATGCCCAGGATGAAATGCTGAACTTGGCCTTCACCATTGGGTCCTTCCTGCTCAGTGCCATCACGCTGCCCCTGGGGATCGTCATGGACAAGTATGGCCCTCGCAAGCTGCGGCTGCTTGGCAGGTTGGTGTCCTGGGCTCCCTGGGTGGGCTGAGGGGCAAATTCACCCATCATCTGGGATATATGGGTCTTGTTTGGGTGCTGTGCCTGTTAAGGGGTCTCTGCAGCCTCGGAAACTGTATGAGGGATGGGGTTGGGATCTACTGGGAGCTGCTGGCCACGCACAAGGCACCGGAGCAGCTCTGGGATGATTTCAGCCAGCACAGTGAATTGCTCCATAAGGGAAGGGCCTGGGACTCCGTGTCCACACTTCAGTTCTCCAGTGTTGTTCTGTGTTCCCTGGCCAGATGGAGCCTGGAGGAAGAGCAGTGTCATTCATGAGTCATGGAGGGGTAGCTTTTTCCTTGAGCTGGGAGCTATGTCCTGAGAGGCACAAAACCAAGATGTTACATCATCGTTTGCAGGCTGGGGAGTTAACTTGCGGATAAACACGTCCTCCCTGCCTTTTCTAGGTCTCTTCTCTGCCATGTGGTGTGTGTTGCTTTCTGCCTCAAATAGCAAGCTCGTTAGCTGCTTCCGTCATGGCGTGTAGGGATTAGTGACTTGTTGGGCACAGTGGTCCTCCAACACTGCTGAGTTTTAATACACTGAAGTGTATCAGAAACCAAACTGGCCTGTAGGCAGTGGGGAAAACAGGGCAAGTGTCTGACTTGGACCCTTCCAAAGAGGAGCAGGTGAAGGCTGTGAGTGCTGTGACCACCACTGGGGTTCAGGGTGAAGGCTGCTGCTGTCTTTGGTCACCTCGAGGTGAGGGCTGGCAGAGCTCTGTGCTGGGAAACAAGTAGGGAATTTCGGTCCAGCAAGAGCTGCGTCAGTACTGGGAGGAAAGGTTGCTGCCTCAGCTCTTGTGCAAGGCTTGTCTGTAATATTTGGGTATTTCCCCAGATTCTTCTTTCCAAATTGCCAGCTTCCCTTCTTCTTACAGAGAAATTATACTACGCTTGCTTAACGAGGTGCTGAGGAGGTAGAAGCAAATGTAATTTACTGCATGTAAGGCTGTTTGTAAGACACTCATAGTTTTGGTTCCTTTTCAGTGCCTGCTTTGCTGTGTCCTGTGTGATGATCGCGTATGGTGCCAGTAACCCAGACTGTAAGTAGGTGTTTCTCTGAGCTGTGAGGGCTTTGGGGCTGTGGCTTGGGTTGTTCTGGGGAAGCAGATAAACGTGTGTGGCACTGCGTGCTCTGTCACACCTCCAGTGCTATACTGGGGTCTTGCTGAGGACACAAGCCAAGCATTATCTACCCCGTGGGAGCTGAGTGGCCCTGGGGAGGGCTGGTGTTTCACAACCCCCAGTGGGAAGTGCAGCAAGGGCCAAGCATCTGAGATAGCCCAGTCTCTCAGCTCTGTGTTTGGGCAGGGCCAGGTCCTGTAAAGGAGCAGTTCCAAACAAGTTCATGGCTTTTTCAGGGTTGGGAAATAAGTAATAGTACACAATGTGTAATTGGTGTTCTCACCAGGGATAGATGGAGCTTGCTCTTCAAGACCAGATACTGAGATGATACTTTGAATCCAGTTCTTTCAAGTAAATCTTCCTTTTTAAGACCCATTCAGCAAGTCTGCTTATTAGAGAAACGAAACCCTTCCATCCTGAAGAAAGATGATCCCAGCCTGAACTCTGTCTTGGAGAGCCCTGGCTGTCCCATTCTGTGTGGCTGGGGAGATGGGTGCTGGGTCAGGAACAGCATAGTGTATCCTGAGGGTGTTGATCCACTGGGGCTTTTATGTGTCAGGACCAAAGCCCTCAGGGCTCTGTCTCTTTTCCCTCTCCACCTCAGTAAAAGCTAAAAGTGTCTCTTATATTGTTGCAGCCCTGTCTGTGCTGATATTCATTGCGCTGGCCCTGAATGGCTTTGGTGGGATGTGCATGACCTTCACATCGCTGACGGTAAGTGAAGAGTTATCACCTGACTCTATTTTATTCCTTACTATGGCTGTGAGCTGGGCTAGCAGGGAAGAAAGAACAAAGTGGAGCTTTTGCCTGTGGCTTGAATAGCACATGTTTTTGTTTAGTACAAAGGGGTCAGTCACTCCTCTACCTGAAAGGCTGAGTACTAGGTGGTTATTCAGAGGCTTGTTTTTCCCATTCCTTTTTTTCACCTGCCCCTAGCATCTCAGGTGAAGGTGGTTGTGGGGAAGGAGGTGTTTTTGTCTAGGACTGAAATTGTCATATGCCTGTACATGCAGTGCTCAGCTACCTGGCACTGGCTGGACATGTGTTTGCACTGAATTTAGCATTGACGTACTTCAGGAAGAATCAGCAGGGCACAAACCCTTGCAGCTGGGTACAACCAGCTTTTTTGCAAGCGCAGATTGCATCTCAGCCCAGGAAAATGGTTGTTTTGGAGCACAAAAGCTTTTGCTCTCAGGAGGATGAAAGTCCCTTCCAGGTTTCCTTAGAAATGCTGTGTTGTTGAATGCACTCAGCTCCATCTCCACAGCACACTCAGATCTGTTTAGTCTATGGGTTGTACTGCAAGCACTGGGCAACAACTGCCCCAGCTGGATCTCTACAATTTAGGGTTCTTTTTGCTTGGAGACAGAAGCAGTATCATCCTCCACATAGTTGCTTTATTTTCTACCCCATTACCCTGATCCTTGTCAGCATGGCTGAAGCAGGGCTGGGTGGAAAGTTGCCCAGAAAACAGTCTGGGAAGCACCAATGTTTCTTGAGCTGTGGCTGAAAACTTTTCAGACTTGGATGGCATTACCTTGAACTTGTTGATGTGAAACTTCGTTCAGGATACCTCTAATTTAGCAAGGCTTAGACACTGGCTGAACAAGGCTCAGACACTGGCTGAACTCCTGAGACCTAAATTTGGCAGAGGCTGGGTTTACAGATTACTGTGTGCACTGTGGTGTTGCTGCTGCTGTTGCTTTAGTATATTCAAAGCTTTCAAAACTCTGTGCAGATGTCGGTCTTTCCTTCATATGTAATGTTCTTCACTGGAAGCCTTGGCTGATGTCCCAAAGAAGCATGGGGCAAATGTCAGCCTGCCACGCTTCAAATAAAAGCAAGGAAGAGAGGAGCACATTGGTACTGCTGTGGGAGAGGAGAGGATTCCCACCCTGCTGCTGCCAGCATTGGTTATTGTCTCTCTGGGTGGTTATTAAGGGGTCACAGATTATTTTGGAGCCACTGGTGATGATAGGAGGAAGGGCAAAGATAGGGCAGAAGTATATTGGCTGTGCTGTACCGTGGCTTTTGGCACCAGAAGCAAGCCAAGCCACTTATTAGTGCCCTCATTAGCGAGCCAGTTCCATAGCACAAAGGCAGTACAGGGGCAGGAAAAAGGTCAGATCTTCCAAGAAGAGATCCACGCCTTGAGGAGGTCTGAAGCAAGTAATGATGTTGTGAGTTCACACAGGGAGACCTCAGGTGGAGCCCAGCCCCTCCAGACAGCAGAGTGTTTTGTAAAGAGCTGAGGTGGCTTCAGGCCTGACTTCTCAAATCCAGACTCAGAAGTAGCTCCTTGTGCCTCCCTGCAGAGCTACACAGAGGCATTTGGGTACCTGAGGCTTGTGAATGTGATTAAAAATAGTCTGAAGTGGGAGGGAAGCACTTCTTCACCTGCATCACGGCGTAGCTGTGCTGGTGACTGTTAAAAGCAGGTGTATTTTGCTCATTGGCAGCTTACTGCTTTTCTTTTCTCTGCATGGTTCTGCCTGCAAGCTGGGGTGCTCACAGTTGGTGTGTCAAGAGCTGTCTTCTCATGGGTCCCTTCCACCTGAAGCCTGTGGAGACAGGGGAGGGACATGGGGATGACAGGTCCATGGCTTGCTGGCTCTGGGTGATGTGGCTTGCACACAGTGTGCTCTCTGCACTGTGGCCAGGAGAGGCTGAAGCGTGTGCTGAAAGGGGAGACTTGAAGCCCTCTTTAAGGAGGCTCATTACACAGAGGCGGTGAGCACTAATCAACTTCTGGTGCCAAGTAAGCTTGTTCTGGCTGACACAGGCACCAACTGCCGAGCGCACACGTGCACTCGCAAGTCAAAGCTAGGTGACTTCCTTCTCCTGCCAGCTGCAAGTGACCTGAAGTGCTCCAGGAAATGGGTCAAACCCACTGGTGCATGAGCTTGGTCCTCTGCCACCCCAGGCAGGTTACGGTTTCTCCTTCACAGCAGGGTGGCCATGAAGGGAGCCCCTGCAGCGTGTGGGGTTGGGGTGTTCCCCAGGTGCTGTGGTTTGGGGTGCTTCATGGGGTGTTGAAACCTCCTGGGACACCTGCATGTGTGGGCATGGTGTGATCTGATGGGAGACGGGGATCCTCAGTGCCTGTGCAAGGGATAAAGGGGATCTCTGAGGATTACAGCCTGGGACAATACACCACGAAGCTTTGCCTCTTGGGTTTAAAGCCTTTTTTCAGCAACAAGTCCCTGGGGTATCATGGAAGCAAGCTGCTGCTGTTCCTGGGTGCCTTGCCTTGTGGCTTGGGGAGGAGGGGGAGTGAGCGAGCGGTGCTGTTCCCAGTTCTGGGAACAAGGTCAGGCTGTGCCTGTTGTTAAAATGCAGAGGGGGAGATTTCTGCCTCGTGACTTGGTCTTAGCCAATATAAGTGAAGATTGGAAATGGAAACAGATCTGTGTTGGTGGCTCTGACAGCAACACAGGAATCTGGCGCTGCTGCTGCTGCTCTGAAGCTATTTCATGCGAAGAAATAAACATGTGTGATAAATTACCACAAAGAGCCTTTTATAGATTGTTTTCTGTCCTGTTTTCCTTTCAAAGAATTACAGCTGCTTTGCTCTTATTTTCTGCTACAAACAGCGCCCTTTAATCGGAGCGGGGGGGCATCTCTGTGTAGGGGATCTTCTCTACTCAGAAATATTAGGAAAACTTAGGGCTCTGTGATCTTTTGTTTGTTGGAGAATGGGAACAGGAACTTCCATACGCTTTGGACAAAGCGGGCAGTTTGAGGTTTTCCTGGAGAACATATTTTTTAGAGCCTGTGTATCTTCCAAATATACCCCTGACAGGGAAAACAAAGTTTAGCTTGAACAAAAATACCATTCTCCAGTAGTCTAGTTCTCAGTCCCTTGACTTTTTCCACAGTTCTTTCAAACAGGCCTTGCAAGAGGAGGGGAAACCGGGTTTGGTAATACTGCTGTGATATCTTTTGTGTATGCATTGTCTCTAGGGAAAAGCTGAAAAAAACCCTATAAATGATCGAAGGTCTTAAACTCGCTATAGGGCAGATGAGAAAGTAATCTGCAAGAGGAAATTATTTTATCAGTTTAGGACTGCATACCTATAATAAAGGAGTCCAGGAATAAAACGGTTATGGCACAGCAAAATTAAGTTAGTGTCACGCGGAGCATAAAGTTAATAATATGTTGAGTATTACTGACCTTTAAACAGGAGGCGTAAGAGTTTCTGTCACTGTAGATCTTGTGGAATTGTGGCTGCCATACCAGAATGGGCAGGAGCCAGTGGAGGAGTCCCTTCTGGCCTGCAGGGATAAGATGAAGAATGAGGATCAGATCTTTTTGATGGCAGAAAAACAAAGAGCCCACTTGCTCTGTGGCTTGTTTTTTTCCTCTCTATGGTTCATTTTTTCCAATGCTTGCTGCTAGAAAGACAGCATGAAAAATGGCTCAGTAAATAGTGTGTTATTTTAGTAGCTGGTCTTTAGATGAGACCTGCACAGGCATTGCCAGTGCTGGCACTCGCAGTCTGAGAGGTTTTCTGTCTGGCTCTGGACTACTTTTCCCTTTGCCTTCCCTCAACCCCCCCAGGTTTTCTCGGATTTATTTTCCTCCCCAAGTGCTCAGTGTTTGCAATTTCTGCTTTGATTACGTTGGATAAGACCTTAAATCTCCTATGTCCAATATTTTTAATCTGGCTGCTTGTTTGGTGTCAAATAGAATTTTAGGAACTCTCTAGCCTTTCTAGGACTTCTGTCCCCATCGAGGCAGAAGCAGATTTGGGTTTTCCCCGGACAGGACTACTTGTTTTCAGGCCTGCTCTGTGTCTCCAGTAGCCCTCAGAGCAGGAGGATCCACCTGGGAGTTGCTTGTCTGGTGTATGAAAAAGGCTTTTTGTGATCTCTGGGGCTCTGGGGAAAACCAGTTTGAGCCAAGAAGCAGCTGTGTTTGTGGAGCTCTTGCCCTGCTCCGAGCTCCCCAGCAGGAGCAGCTGTTTGTTGTAATTTCTGGAGATTATTTTCAGTTTGGGGTATTTGAGATTAAATGAATGCCCTGCCTGGTGACAATGACTAGCCTTTTTGCGACCTGCAGATACCGTATTCTGCAGATGCTGTTTTCTGGGGTGTGTATTTAGGCCATTGCTTCCAAGAAGAGAGAGATTTTTTTTTTTTGTGTGCCTGGTAACAGACCTTTGGATCCTTTGCCGTTTCCTGTCTGCAGCTCCTGAAAGCAGCCTGTTGGCAGCTCTCCCGCATGCAGGGATCCGGGGATGGGTGTGGGGATCCTCGCTGCAGAGGAGTGCAGTGATTTCTGCCTGTTCAGGGTTCACCAGCAGCATCAGGCTCGGCACATCGTTGCTGCTGTTCCCTGGCTGGGGTTATCCGAGGACCTGGAGACTGCACTGCATAGGAAGCTCTGCAGTGAGACAGAGGGGATGATAAACAGCCAGATGGATCCTGGAGTGTTCCTGCACAGGAATACTTGTGTTGTAAACACGCTGGTCCTGCCCTGACACAAGCCAGATTTGCTTTGCCTTATATGCTACTCCTGGGAAAGATGAATTTGTTTTTCAGCGGTGGAAAGGGAATGTGATGACAGCATTTGCTTGCTCAGGCTAGGTCTAATGCTCTCTGAATCATTTCGTTCAGCAGCATCTTTAAACAGATAAAATGCTGGCTGTGCCTTCAGTCCTAGAAGGCACCCGGTGCCCTGTTTTGAGGCCCTCTGAAGCTGATGTGGTAGTGATGCCTGAGTGAATTTGGGGAGCAAGTGACCCAAAAAAGGAGGTGGGAGGGAAATCTGCCTGCCTGCAGCAGAATCTCTGCCTGTTGACTAGCCTCAGGAGATATCAGCTGAGCCCTCTGTAGCCTACAACTTCAAAGCTTCTCCTTGTAATTTCCAGCTTGCAGGCCACAGTTAGTCAGTAATGGAAACTTGTTCACTTCTGGTTGTCTAGAAAAACAGGGAGTTCCTCCTTTCCCAGGAGAGTGGGAAGGTCTCGCAGCTCTTTCTGCCTGCTCCACTCTGGTTTTGGGTCCTGGGTGGAAGCAGGGGCTGGAGAGCCAGCTGGGAGAGCTTTAACTGTTGAAGTGGCTGCTGTGACCTGCTTCTAGCTACCCCGGCTGAGAGCTTTGCTTTCCCCACAGGTTCTTGCAGAACCAGCCTGGTCTGCTCTCAGCAATGCCATCACACCTGATAGGAGCTCAGGCAGCAGAGTGGGGTGGGTGGCAAGAATGGAAAAGCAAAGTGCTATTGCCTACATCTTGCCGTGGAGTTCAGCAGCTTTGTGGCTGCACTGTGCAATAAAGCCTTGGAAATCTGCTATTTGTGATTACCTTCCTCCACGTAGCTGTGAAAGCCCCTCTGCTTCCACAGAAGTAGCTAAGGACCTAGCTAGAAGTGGAAATGTGAACAGCAACACAGTTTGTGTTTGTCTCTGTTCCTTCCTGTTATAACAGGAATTTTCTGGTCTACTGCAAAGACTTGGGTGCTGACCCAAAATGCATAAACAAACCTGGCAGTTCAAGGTGTTGCAGGGTGTGTTAAAGCCTGTGCAGCTATCGCAGCCTGTGTTTAACAACTCTTGACTAAAAAGAGTGTGATATGTAGAGAACTTGAGCATTTATTTCTTGAGAGGAGAAGAGGTGGTGGCTACAGGCTTGGGGGTAAGGAGCTCTTAAAGAAAGCACTAGGGCCTGAGCAAACACTCCTGTGTAACTAATGCAAAGTATGCTGTCAGTCTGGAAAGAAGCAGTGTCATTAAGCACATAAATCTTGGATTATAGAAGTTCACTGTTGCTAGAGACACCAATGCAACCTGTGGAGCAATATCCTGAAGGGCTAAGTCAGTAAGTCATTCTTGAGTAAAACTGTCTTCTTCAGATTGGTATTCAGATGTCTTAATCCTAAATGTCAGATTTATGTCTGCCATTAGCTGTATGTCTTCTCAAGAAAGACTAGTTCCCTCTTCTGCCCTTCTCTTGGCAGCAGCCTGTTTCAACTAATTTTTCTTTCCCCAGCTGCCCAACATGTTTGGTGACCTTCGTTCCACGTTCATTGCTCTGATGATTGGCTCCTATGCTTCCTCTGCTGTGACTTTTCCAGGAATCAAGGTGAGGTCCTGGGATCGTGACTCATGACTGGTGGTGTTGTGCTGGAGTTCTGCACCATTTAGCAATAATGTGGCAAGAAAGAGGGACTATTTGTTAAAGCACTTGTTTAGAGATGTGCATTTGCAAGATTCGGTTCCTGTCTGTTAAAAGATTTCCCAAGTGGCTGCCTGAAGATTTAAAGATTGCTTTTTTTAAGCTCTAAGGAGTATATATATATGCATGTATTTTTAATACACATGTCTATATTTAATCTGTGTGATTGTCACTGATGTTTGGCAAACACCATGGAAGGGACAGAAGAGATGGTCGCTTGGCCTGCTTCAGTAGATCACTGGTGGTTCTGAACAAGAGATGTTTCCTTGCAGAGTTAGAGTAAGGGAAATATAGTAAAGGCAAAACAGTCTCAAGCATGCAAGGAAGTTTCTTCTGGCTTTCCAAGGAGAAGGTCCAAAACAAAAATGGTTGATGGCAGTCATCTGCAATACTGCTGCATGCTATTCCAGCTGGAGGTCCTATTGTTGCTGTAGCTGCTATTTAAGATGTGAATACACATCTCTTTCCAAGCCTGCATGTCACAGAACTGCTCTTTGTTACCACTTGAGTTAAACCATTTTAAATACAGCATGTTTTTCTTTCCCACAGCTTCCTTTCAGACCTCATTCAAAGAATATTGAAGTATCTTTCTGCTCTTACAGCCAAAAACATATTCCCTTGTGATTTCCAGGTTATATATGACTTTGGGGTCTCCTTCATCCTTATTCTGCTTGTCTGGGCAAGCTGTGCAGGACTAGTTTTCCTCAACTGTTTCTTCAATTGGCCACTGGAGCCTTTCCCAGGACCAGAAGACATGGACTATTCGTAAGTGTCCTCTAAACTGGCCTTGAGGGCTAATCCCATTCTTAATCCTCTAGAAAGTGCTGCCACGGCTAATTTAGAGGAGTGGACAGGGAACTCCCTTGCATGTTGTTTATAGCTGCCATTCCTCCTTAGGTTGAGGATTTATGTCTGCCATTAATGTTATGACTTGACTGGCGAATATCTGTGGAAAGTTGAACTTTCCAAAACGTAGGAATTATGAAGGAAAATGATCTGTCAGTAGTCATAAGTATTTCTATATTGACCTGTGCCAAATTGGCCCAGGGGAAGTATCTCTCTGTGCTCTGGATCCAGACCATTTGTGGGTTTGTAGATGGAAACTAGCGCCTTAAATCCACGCGTAGTCTTTCTGACTCCTGCAACTTTGCTGCCTGTGATTCCCCACCCTGTGTTGCAGCTCTCATGCTCTTTACTGCCCAACAGGGTGAAAATAAAGTTCAGCTGGCTGGGATTTGACCACAAAATCACTGGGAAGCAGTTTTACAAGCAAGTAACGACTGTGGGGCGCCGTCTCAGTGTGGGGAGCTCCATGAAGGGCCCCAAGGAGCCAGCAGCTTTGCAAGAGAACAACAAGCTCTGTCTATCTACGGTGGACCTAGAAGTGAAGTGCCAGCCTGACAACACAGGTGTGGTTCCATGAGTGCCCCAGGGATGCTTGTGCTGGCACAAGGCTGTCGGCCTCTCTGCTCTGCTCCAGACCTGTTTATGAGATAGCGATACATAATCCATGTGTTGCCAGGGCCACGTGCCAGACACCATTATTTAAATACAAGTTCAGTTATATAAGGAATCCTGTCCTTGTATACTTGCCTAAATACGCCCTATGTTGTTGCCAGTGGTGGGGACAACAGCATGGGTCACAGGTATGGCTGTAGAAGGACAGTGCAGTTGGTCACTGCTGTCTCTTAGGTAGACTGTTGCCATCATGATCAAGCCTTCCTTTACTCAGGGCTATGGCAAAAGTAAATGGTTTGAAGCTTTTGCTCTAATCCAGAGTTAGATGAGTCTTCCTGCTGCCTTGGTCCAGTTACTGGTAGCCAAACTCCAAGCATCTATAGCTGTTCACTATGGAAGATTTAAGGCACCAGGCAGTTGCTAACTGTGAACTCCTTGGAGGTGCCACTGGCACGCAGTGTTGGAATGCCTGGCTAGGAGAAGACCTGCTAACTCAGAGGTCAAAGAGCCCAAAGCCTCTTTTGAAATTGTACGTGTTTACATGTAACACCAATTGTACGTTGCTTTCTTTAGAGACTCTATTATTCCTTCTACAGCTTCTCCCTCCTTCATGAAGAGTGTCTTCAGTCCTATCTTGTTGCTCAGCCTTATCACCATGTGTGTCACTCAGCTGAGGCTCATCTTCTACATGGGGGCCATGAATACCATCCTTGAGTTTCTATCTGGAGATGAAGATCAAGGTAGGGTAACCTAAAGACTTTTATCTGCTTCCTTGAAACTGGGACCTGGCCCTGACCTGGACTTGGTCCTTGCAAGAGGCCAGCGAGCCTGATTACTCAGCAGATATACTGTGTATGGCAATTAGTGGTGTCAGAGTGCAGCTGACAGCTGCTGGTAGGGTCTAGCAAAAGGCTGGAACTAGCCCAGGACAGAGGGGCATGGAGGTAGACACTTGAATGTCAAGCTAATTTTAGCCCAGTGTCTGTTAAATACTATTCCATGTTATTTCCCCGGATGGGTTGTTGAAAGTAGCCTCTCAGGATGGACTGTGATAATTTTTTTTTTTTAATTGAAAAACCTTTTTCTTCAGGTATTTGCTTTGCTTATCCTAAGCAAGTGCAAAGCACAGAGCAGCTGACTTCTCATGACTAGTGGTTAGACTAGGTGTCTCAGCCCAGCAGCCGGGGGTGGGAGAAGTGAAGTCATAGCTGTTTTGTGCAGTTTGGTGTGTGCCGGGGAGGCTCAGGGGTGCTCACTGCACTGGACTCGTCTGTATTTATAGCTCTGATTCAGCACATGGAGCAAGCAGGAAAGAGTACATTAGTTTACTGTTGTTGAAAATACCCAGGATTGCAAAACAAGACTTAGCCTTTTTTTTTTTTTTTCCTTTGTAGTAAGATCCAGTTTGAACTTGTTAAATCTGGATTGCATGAAGCTGATAAATCAAGAGGCACTCCTCTGAAAACAGGAGTGAGCTCTGGGGGAGGGAAGGAAACTCCAAGTGCCCTGGCATTCCCTGAATTGCTTTGTTTCTTGAGCCTTTGACAGCCTGCAGCATTCAGCTCTTTATCTCCTGGCTCAAGAGCCAATTTAGACATTAAACAGTAAACAGGACAAACTTCACACTGCCTACCTTTCCCAACACAGCTTAGTTTTCTGCTTACCTTGTAACTCTCACAATGATTATTTTTCTTTCTTTCTTTTTTTTACCTTAGCTTGCTCTAGTTATTTCTCTTTCATTTTTTTTCTCCCCTCCCCTCCTTGGTATTTTAGAATTAATATTAACTATATATGCTGCCAATTCTGCTTAGATCAAGCTCCATGATTAAAAAAGGGATTGTGCCCCTTGGGTGTACTGCATCTTTTTCTGTGCCACCTTTGAGATTTCTTCCCGATTTTTTTCCCCCTCCTCCCCCTGAATGTAGCCTGGGCTCACAGTGCAATCTGCTGTCTTGGTGTTTCCATGGCATCAGCAAAACAGTGGTATTGTCTAGTCGCAGCAGTGTCAGGCTGCAAGAGCAGTTCCAAGACGCGTGCAGCTCTCTAGAAATGTAATCTGTGCAGATCAAGAGAGGATGGGACGCTGCTCCCTTGGGTTCCTCTTTCTTCATGCAGTTATTTACTTGAATGTGATTTGTTTAGAAAGCTCCCTCCACCTGCAACTGCTCTCAGGAGCACTCAAGGGAAGAAGAGACTTGAAGTCAATCCTGCAAGTGTTACAGTCAAAGAAAACTTAAATATTGCTGGGAATAGAACAGGAGAAAAGGATGTGGGGAAAATAATTCAGATAAGGAGCAAAGTCTTGAAGTTGCAGTGAGTCACTGTGTCCTTGAAAATCCTGCTTCCTGTGCAAATTGTGGTGACTTAGACCTGTCATGAAACCTACAGTTGGAAAAAGCAGACAGCCTGTGGCTACTTATTTTCTGACCCCTTCCAAAGATGAGAGAGAAGTTAAGGGGTTCAGTACCTCTGTAAATGACTATAATTCTGTTGTAGGAAGGTGGGAAAGAGTAGACTTGTGTCTAGAACTTGCCATTTGGCTGTGTCTTTCATACATTGTCACCTTGCTTTCAAATCTGGTAGTACTTGGATACCTTGGGTTGAATCAGGGTGGGCTGGAAAACTTGGTAGTAGGAGGTATATGTCCAGGATAGTTTTGAGGGAAAGACATGTAGAACAGTGGATGTAAAGGGTTGTGCCTGTGTGTTCACCCTTTGTCTGTTTCCTCTATCCAGGCTTCTACTTCTGTCATATCTACTTCTGATGGTACTTTCTAGGTATTGTTCTCTCTCTTTCTCCTCAGGAAATAATCTTTTTTTAAATGATAGATAAATTGAGGAGGCCCTGTTGTGTAGCAGCTTCTGACTCTTCTTCCCTTGCTGATCCCATAAATTTCATTCCCTGCTTCAAGTTGGCTTCTGCTCTTGCTGTTTAGAGCCCAAGATTAAGTGTTCAGAATAGCATGAAGGGGCAAAACATGACAGCGTGGCTTGCTTCTTACCCTCTATTAAAAAATAACCAGACAACAGCAAATCAGCTCCAGGAGCCTTTGTAGAGGGTGATGCCACCTGTCTCACTTGGATACAGCAGTTGCTATAATGAGACAGGATGTGGGGCCACTTCAGGGCTTGTCTTTGCGGAGGTAATGGGGGCATGAATGTGAGTTTGAAGGTTGGAGTTGGAAGTTCTTCATGGTTCCCTTGCCAGCAACTGGAGCCAGGAAAAGTATCATCAGATGCCATGCCTGGGCACAGCAAGACAGCCCTGCTGGGGTTTGGTGCAACTGTATAGGAGAAAAAGGCTCGTTGGAGACTTTTTCCCGTTTCAAGTTGATTTTGGTATAAGTCATGGCTGTACTGCTTTGGCTAGATCTAGAAATGCATTGGGAGGGAAAAAACAAAATTCTTTTTGTTGTTTTGCTTACGGTGCTGTAACTTGTGAGCACTCTGTGCTGAGATGGGCAGTTTCAGAATCGCATCCTTATTTCAGAGCTGCAGTACACCATGATTCACCAGCCCTTCTGGGTGATGCCTACAAATCCATCATGTGGGCTGCAGAGAGGAAGTGGAAAAAGCACTGCAGGGTGGGGGGAACTGGTCAGTAACAGGGGACAGTTTCTTCTAAGGCTGCTGGCATCAGCTTTCCCTCAGCAAGCCATGCAGACCTTCCTCCCATATGGGGAATTTTCATCAGTTTGAGTTCTTAATGATTGCTCTCAGATGCTGTGTTTTTTGCTGCTGATTTCCCCTCCACCTGCCTTCAGGCTTGTCTGTTCTGCACAAAATGGGTTAGTCCTCACCTTCCCAGCCTGACTTGTTCTTGTTGGAACTTCCCAATTGGAGACGATGTAGCTGCAGCTCCCAGCAGGGCAGGAGAGGAGATGACTAAGGCAGGGTTGGCTGTGCAGGATTTATTGCTTGGAAGAACTTTCCTGTTGGTCCTAGCCAGAAGAAACCTCACTGGCAATAAGCAGTTGCTGGGTGCTATTCCTGGAGGGCTACTTGATGTTTGGCTGATGTTGCTCAGAGAATATTGGTGCAGGATCAGAATGGTTGAGGCAAATGTGTGCAGTCTGTCCACTCTAATGTCCTGCTTCTGGGAGGCTAAATGACAAAGTTGGGCTTTGGTGTCCCAGCTCCTTTAGCCCTGCCTGTGAGTGCGCGGGGTCTGGGCTCTTAATGAGAAAGGTGTTTAATGGGGAGGAACAGTTTCTTTTCTGTCATCTCTTTCTGTTGCTGCTACAGTATCACTTGATCTGACAACTTCTTAATTATTTTTTTTTTTTCCCCCCTGCAGTGGCTCTCTACACTTCCATTTTTGGGGTATTGCAGCTGCTGTGCTTGCTGACAGCGCCTGTGATTGGGTACATCATGGACTGGCGAATGAAAGAATGCGACGATGGCTCAGAAGAGAATGAGGAGAACAACGCTGAGCAGTGCGTAGTGTGTGCCACACGGGACATGCAGCCACCTAGCAGGCCCCCTCTGCTCTGCCTAATATGTTTTATGATGAAAGACTGAAAAGAATACTGGTTCTTCAGTATAGAAAAGAAAGCCTGAAGGAAGACTTGATAATTGCAGAGGAAAGGACCAAACTATCTTCCATGTCCACTAAGATCAGACAAGAAGAGCAAATTTAAATTGTAGAGGGGGAGGCTCAGACTTCCCTTCTAGCCTAACAGTAAGAGTAACGGCACTGAAATAATTGCCCAGATGTTCCTCAGCTTCCACTGATGGAGATCCCACCACCTCCTTAGGCAGACCTCTAGCCAAACTGGTTTAGATAGAGTTGATGTGATATGTGGAGAATCTTGCTGTGAGTTCCAGTTGCTGCTGAAAGTGCTTTTTGTAACATAGGTTTTGCTATCCTTCCAGAAGTGACAAGAAAAAGCCAAAACGTGATCGTCAGATCCAGAAAATCACCAATGCCACCAATGCCTTTGTATTCACAAACTTCCTGCTGGTTGGATTTGGAATCACCTGTCTTATTCCTAATCTACCGTTGCAGGTGAATAGGTCGAATGGATGGGTGTGCTGGTGGGGCTGGCAGTGTGGGGTCCTGGCAAAATGACAGGCAGGACAGTGCAGGAGGTCCTGTAAGTCAGCAGAACCAGTTTGTAGCATGAGGGCTTTCTGGCACTGTTGGGGGAGACTTCTAGACTGCTTTGGAAACCCCAGTCTTAGAGCTGAAACAAGTAATATCATGCAGGTTGGGTATCTTGAGAGAACCTAAAGAAGCAGCTATAGTTAAAGTGCCAGAGTTGATCCAAAATTTATTCAAGCTTAAAAGTTTCTGCAGCTGAGTTCCATAACAACAAATATTTCTGTACTGAGCTCCTCTCAGCACTGCCTGCGCATTTAGCCTGGCCTCAATTTAAGCTGCTTATGGTCAGAAAATTTTCTGTAAGAAGCGTGACAGTGACATATACAGCAGGTTATTTCTGTTTCAAGTGCTATGCTCAGTGGTACCTGTGGGATTATAAACCTGTTAAAATATTTATTTTGTGGCACCACCTGGTTTTGGCACAAGTTTAGTGATTTTATGCTATACTTAAACATGCCTTGATGATGCGGGCAAACAGAGTTTGCTCATACTTGCTTATGGTCTGCAATAAGTTGTGGAAAATTAACTAACCTCAATAAAAAAACCAACAACATTGTGACCCTGGCCACAGTTTGCTGGGGACATGTCCTTGCAGCAGTGCCTTCTGTAAATGAGATAGGTCTTGTGTGTGGTTAACCTCAGGGAGCACTACATGTTAGTCCTTACAAAGTAAGGAAAAGTTGAGTACAAATTTCTTCCCTTGTGCTGATCTTTCAGATATTGGTTCTGGTTTCCTCAAGGCCATCTTTGTATTGAAAAGGAGAACAACTTTTGGGAATTGTTTTGTGTTGGGGGTCTGGCACACCTGGGTGGTATCTAGGATGTGACATTTTTCTGCTTCTCTTTCCAGATTCTTTCCTTCATTTTGCACACAATCGTGAGAGGATTCATCCATTCAGCTGTGGGAGGTCTCTATGCAGCTGTGTAAGTCTGTGCTTACCTATAATATGTGGCTGGCCAGATAAACTGGTTTGGGTTGATAGAGTGAACAGATAAGAGGGAGATCAGGAAGTGAAGTCTTCATGGTCAGAGGGGAGAAATGATGCAACTTGTTTCTTCAGTCACCACTGGATATGACAGTAGCTGGACTGAAGTCCTAGCTGATGCTTTCCTTGTTTGGGAACAGCTAACCCCTTTGGCACAGCTACTGCAGTGAGACAGGCACAGCTATATATGGGCCTCAGGTGAGACTAGGCTATTGACACTAGGGTTATATAGTTAAAACTCAAGGCTTTTTTTTTTGTCTTGTAATGAGTAGCCAGGTGCATGTGTCCAGGTAAAACATTAACATAATTGAATACATTTGCTACTGGTCTGCTCTGCAATTACATAGGTTAAGCATTGCTCAAGATACCATTAGTGATGCCCACTCCCTTTTCCAGGACAGATCATCCATCCTGTTTCCAACTTATCAGAATTATCAATAGCTGAATCTAAATACTCTCTTCCTTATTAAGCGATGTTTTTGGTTTCGAAAACAGATCTGCCCCTCTGTCCTGAGCTGTTGGACAGAGGAACAGAAAGAAGCTGTTATCTTTCAGAGAGTCACAGAATCGTTGAGGTGGGAAGGGACCTCTTGAGACCGTCTAGTCCAACCCTCATGCTCAACGAGGGTCAGCTAGAGCAGGTTGCCCAGGACTGCGTCCAGTTGGGTTTTGAACACCTCCACGGATGGAGACCACAACTCCACAGACTGCTTCTGTCAAAGATTTTTGGTCCCAGTGTCTGGGGAATTCAGACTAGAAAATCCATCTAAGACTGCTTCAAAAATGCATAAACTTTTGGCTCCTTGGCAGCCAGAAGCAAATGATTTTTGTCTTAGGTAAGGTAAATGCTTGTCACTATACATATCAGCTTGTTTGTAAACTAATCCTGTTTGACCATTGCAACTCTCTGGAACTTCCTGGAGTGAGGTATTTTTGTTTTTCCGCTTTGAATGTGACTTCTTTGAGTACTTGAAGGTTTTGATCCACTTTCTTTCCAAGCTTAGTTTAACCTGACCCTTTTGAAACACTGCTCAGTTGTGGAAAGAGAAGGATGTTAGACTGTTTCTGAAATTTGTTTTTCCATTAGTAGTATCAGATATTCAGCACTTTGCAATCAACAGTATTGTTTAGTTTGACATGGGATCAGACTTGTCCTCTAAAAAGGAAAACACATACTAACCTGTTGTGCAGGTTTCACTCACTTCTAAAGGGAGCAAATTGTTTTGACCAGATGAAGATAATTGCTCAGCCACACATGTTGTCATCTGGATAAAGAGACCCTGCTTTTAACTTGGAAATATCAACACTCCTCTCCCTTTGCAATAGGAACAGTAGTTGTATAAGCACTGCCTACTGCAAAACAAAACAAGTGCTGGATCTGATACTACTTAAGTTTAAGAGCTCAGGATGAGAATAGTCTGGAGGGGAAGGTTCCAGCCTTGTCACCAGCTGCATTCTGCTCTAGAAAGCACCGTGCACATCATCGGGTGTAACTAAATACTCTATAAAAAGAGGTAGTTACACATAAGTCCTGGAGAGAGGAGTTCTTCATATTATGCCTGTCTTGGGACTATGTTCTGTTGTGTTAGTCAACTAGGAATGTAATCTGATCTGGGGTGATGGGAACAGTCAAGGTGACATATAATAATGCTGTTGCTTTCTCTGTTGACAGATACCCCTCTACTCAGTTTGGCAGCTTGACAGGGTTGCAGTCGTTGGTCAGTGCCCTTTTCGCCCTTCTGCAGCAGCCTCTTTTTATGGCATTGACGGGACCTTTGGAAGGAGACCCTCTCTGGGCAAGTTCTTCTCAAATTTAATGTGGAGGCTTGGTGGTTAAGATGATTTTTGGCTTATTTTTGAAAACAAAGACTCCTGTATGTGGACCAAGGTTAAAAACAGCTGCGATTTTAACATGACCCTCAGCTTGCTATTACCTTGGTACTGTCCAGGAGACCCTTCTCAGTGTGAGTAATGATCCTCTGGGAGGGAAAGCCATTAATCCTTATGCTGGTGTATGTAAAAGGGAGGAATGGATAAGGCTGCATGAGTGCTTTATGCTAACAGTTTGTGTGGAGAGTCAAAATCTGTCAGATAAAAGTGAGTAAATCTGTGTGGACATCAAAATGTGGTAGAAATACTCTGTTCCCTTGAAAGCTATTGGCTCTGATTACCAGTAAATTTTGGGTTGCCAATGCTAATGTCCGGAAAGCCAAGTGGCTATTGAGGATAGGGCTAATGTGGTGTCTTGATGAGTCTGGCTGGGCAGCTCATTAAAATAATGGGATGGGTGGTCTTGGGGAGAGGTCCTGATCTCTAGGCTACATGTGCCCACCCCTGCAGCTTGTTACTCTTCAGTCAGCAAACTTGGTGTAAAAGAACCGCAGTTTAAACAGCCCTGCCTGTTCTGTGGAACAGGATTCACACAGCCATGGTCCAGAGCAACAAATTCTTCCAGGATTTAGATTATACACCTGGTGCTCTGGGCACAGGAGTGTAAATATAAATACGGTGGAGATTGTTGCCAATACACTGAGCAGGGCGTTTCTGGGTTTGCCTGCAGCTGAGTGACGTGGGCTGGATTCTGACACTTGGGCATGCGTGACTGGGCTGTCGTCTTCCTCACCTGCCTAACTTTGTTTTGTCTTTCTTCCCACAGGTGAACGTTGGCTTGCTTGGCATGAGCCTCCTGGGTTTCTGCCTTCCAATCTACCTGGTCTGCTACAGACGCAGGCTAGAGAGAGAAAGAAAACAGAAGATAGAGGATTCCAAACTGTTCTACAAAATCAATGGCACTTCCAATGAGGAAGCCTTTGTTTAAACTGGTGCTTCAAATACAACCTCCCCTGTACAGGTTCCTACCACATCCGTGGGTTCTACCTGTGGTGTAAGCCAGGCTTTTTCTCTCCTGGCTCTGCCAGTCTTTGCTCATCACTGAAGTGAGGGCTGGACATCATGACTGAGTTTTCCTCAGATATATGGCAGGAGGAGACTTCTCACTCCTTACTCCAGAACACGGGACACTTTTTTCCTTTTTTTTTTAAAGGCCACGCAGATATTGTGTCTTAAATTATCCCCTGATCATACTCTCCAGCGGCAGAGTCTCTGCGTAGGAAACTGGGGAGAGAAGGAGTAGAGGGATGGGGGAAGAGGGAAGAAAGACCATAATTTGAGTCTGCAAATCTAACTCTGAAGTCTGTCTTCTCCCTCTCTTCCCCCAACCTTGGCTGACATCACCTCAGATGCAACTGCACTCTCCTCCCACCCTGGGGCTCCATAATGGTCTTTCTGCTTGATATGGAGCTGGACTCAGTGGTTTTACTGTCTATCCAGACATACCCCAGACTGCTTCTGAGGCAGGGAAGGGGGTTTTATTCCTATGTGTATGAGCACAGCTTCAGTGTATTGCTAAATGTTGGTTGCTAGCACTGACAGCTCCCAAAACTTTTAGTACTGCAAATGACACAGACTGTGAGCAATGGATCTGCCTTCCACGCTGAAATGAAGAGCCTAGTGGACTGCTCGGTCCTAGACCAAGCCTTCTAAGGCCTGGAATTCCTCTTCTTCCTGGCCAACAAACCACCTGTATGTGTTTTAAACTCTCTGCCGTCCTGGAACCTTTGGATAGGAATTGGATCATGTTTACTGATGAAGTGCTTTGAGACTTGTTGCCTTTTGCCTCCTCTTCCCTCCGACATGACCTTGGGAGGGGAGCAGCAGTGTGTATCGAGTGAAGTGGAGAAGCTTCTTGAAGCTGAGTTCTGGGGCTTCGAATACTTCTGGTGTTCACCTGTCATGAGCTGACTTGCTGTTGAAAAGAATCAAGAGTGCACAACACTCCTTTGTGTCCAGTAACTGGATCTTGTGGACATACGGCAGGGTGATGTGGTGATGTAATTCTTCCTCTAGACATAGCTTCTTTGCATTGTTCTGATAAAAGTCCCCAAGCTGCTGAACACCAGGTTACTGTAACTGACCAAAAAGCTACCGGTTTGGCTGTATTAAGAGCCTTCTATGATGTTGATGCTCTGTCTGGACAGAGTACCTGCTGAATGATTGTACGGTGAAGCTGACTTACAGAGCAATACACAAGGGTAAAGGTGCCCCAGGCCTGCTCACCATAGAGGGAATACAAAGGGAATTCTTAACCTGCTTATTTTTATAGAGGTTTTGCTAAGTCTTGTCTAAAGTCAACTTTTCTGCCCTTAGCGTTTTTGTTGAGATCAGTAGCTCAGCCTCTGTTGCCTTGTGACTAGTGTTACCAGCTGCACCATTTGGACCTGCTGGGAGCAGATCTGTTGAGGATGGACATCACCAGCGGGTGAGCAGCAGCACATGTGCTGGGCTGAGCTACTGGCTGCAGGAAGGTTGGGGGCAGAAATAAAACAGTTATGAAGATGTAGGTGGTGCTTTCTGAACTGCCAACTCCTGTGTTACTGAAAAGCCTGGTAAGGGGGTAAGTCATTCAACTTCTTTGTCTGGTTAGAAAAGTAATCACTGACTCAATCACTGCCCTGCTCTAAGCTGTGGATTAGAAACAACAGTGCACCCGGACTTTCCTTTGAGAAACTACCTGGAAACTGGGTGTTAACTCCTTTACTGATGCTTTGAAGCATGCAGACGCTTACCCCAGCCAGGTCCTCACCTTCCCATAACGGCAAGCTTGGTGACCTCTTGCACAGAGCATGGGCAGGACCGAGGGAAGCCCTGAGAGTCCCTGGCTGGTGGCCTTGCCCGCGCAGGATGAGGAGGCAGCTCTGTGGGACAGCAGCGCCATCTCCAGTCACTGCCCCAGCCAGCCTCCTGTGGGCAGTTCAGATGCTACTCCACTCCACGGTACCTTCCAGTCTCCAGTCACTCTTCAAAATGACTCGCCACTTGAGTATTTTACACATTCGTGGAATTTTTTTAATGTGTTGCCTTTATTAAATGTGTTTGTTCCAAGACAGCCTTATTGCCTGCTGTCGACACTTTACTTTTCTAGAAAACTTCTCGTCTTTTGTTGGTCTCTTGCTTTGGTGATGATTTAGTGACTTTCCCAACTTTTCTTTTGTGTCAAGCAATAATTAAGAGGCAGAGTTTTGATTTGTTTTCCTAATCACCTGGCATTGTCTCAAGTACATATTGAGAGACCCACCAGCAGTAGTACAGCTTGCCTAGATTTCCAGAGGGCTTTCTGCAGATTTCTGCATTTCATATTGCCACTAAATATTTTGAGATGATTCCTACTCTTGCTCTGAGATGTTTGACATGACAATGACAGATTAAGTATTTATTTTATTATATTTTTTTTTTTAGTAAGAGCTCAGACAGGTGAGTGCCTGAGCCACAGTCCTGACTCGATGTCTTAAAAGAGCTGTTGGAGGGTGTCAGTGTGTTAATTCAGCATTACTTCCACCCCAGCTGCCTCCCTACTGCAGTTCCCAGCTCCTGCCCTTTATTAGGAATCTCCTCTCATCCATTTTCATCTGATAAAATGGTGGATATACATGCTTAGTGTCTCTGCTGATGTGCCATGGTGTTTAGAAGCTGCTGGTCGGCTGTAAGGAATGGAGCTCATGCCTTTGAGTCACAGTTTCTGTTTGCAGCTTGGGAGGACAGTGTGCCTTTTGGCTTGCAGTCACAAGGACTAGGGGGTAGACAATGAAGTTTTAGTTGTGGAGGGCTGAGCAGACAAACGGGAGAGCTTTCTCACACAGTGCGAAGTCAAGCCGTGGAATTCATTGCTGCAGAACATTGTTGGGAACAGGAGTATAACTGTTGGGTTTTTTTTTTTCCTTTTAAAAAGGGGCTGGTTCAACAATAGTCTGATGCATCCACTAACTCAGGGAGATTTTAAGTTGCTGTAAATAAGAAAGTTATGCCAAGGAAAGATTACTTTTCTACATGCTTTGTCTCTTAAGAATTGGTCAAAGACAGAGAAAATACATGCCGGGCTGGGTGAAAAGCTGGTCTGATCTTGTGGGGTTTCATTTACTCTGACAGTTGTGAACAAAACTACTTTTAAAAGCAGTCTCAAATCTATCTATTAAAAAAAAAAAATCAACCCCTGTGTCTGTATGTAAGATGTGCCAATACTGATTGTGGCATAACTGCTTAAATGCTGCACCTCCTGCAGGGGTGAGCCCCTCAGAGGGCAGAGTGTTCTGGCTTCAGCCAGAAATGATGTGTTGCATGGTGCAGAAACAAACCCTGTTGGCATGGTCCTGTTATACGTGATTGTTCATGGGCAGTTTGCCTCCATCTTTGATGCTTATGGGAATGTAATTGTGGATTACTTAACATTTGGAATGGGAAAACAGCTTGGCTGCTTTCTAGCCAAGTGATGCAGGACCAAGAAAATTCCTGATGCGTTCTTCTATGTGCATGAGCCACCTTGTGGAAAAAAAAAATTAATGGGCTACCAAAGACCAGACAGTCACATCAATTTAAATCAATAATGCATTTACCTGAATAGCTTAAATATAGGTCAATGTGTTTAACTACCTTCATTATTCCTAAACGCTAGAATTTGTAGGGTTGGGGGTTTTTTTATGCCCTTGTACCCCCTTACCCTCATCCATGTGAGAAGTATGAGGAGGTTAGTCATAGGAAAGATCTCATGTCCTCCACAGAAGCATCCCCAGGTGAATGTAATGAAGCAGAAGCTTGATCTGTGAGTATTTGCTATTTGTAGGAGCCCTCAGAGTCAAGGGCGTTGGTGTGTAAAGGTGATTGCACCTTCTGGAAACACTGCTTCTGGCCTCTACACTCTTACATGTGCTTAATATGCATCTGTATTTAAAAAAAGAAAAAAAATTAACAGTGGTGAAGGGAGGGTGACAGCTTTTCCCTTTCACTAATCTGTCAGTCCCTAAGCCCTACAGACACAGTCTTTATAGCACTAATGAAATGATGCTATCAAGAGTAGCAGAGAAAATCCGTGCTATGTTACTTAATAGGACACTTATAACATTGTTCAGTTACTGTCATAGAGTATCTGGACCCTTGAGATGAAACCGGACACAGATATCTGCAAGAAAAAAAAGAGCAAATCTTGCTGAGGCTTCAACTTAACTGCAATGCTGCTACAGCCATTGAAATGTTTAACTCCCACAAAAAAGCCTGGCCTCTTCATGCTCTGTCTGCAAAGGAAAATTGTAGGATAATGAGATTTTAACGAAGTCAGTAAATCACTAGAATGTTTTAAAGTAGGAGATTTCCCTCTTGACAGGCTGATGAATTTGGAAAATATGCCACAAAATATAAAGCAGATACTGTAGGGTAAAAAGAATGAAATCTTTAAAACTACATGTTTTGTTACTTCCCCCCCACCTTGAGTCCCTTCTGCATCTGCAGAGCTCTTGGTATTCCCTAATTCCCAGTTTGGAAGTGCAAAATAATAATGAAAACTAGTATGACAGCAGGATTCCTGATGGGATTGAAACTGTTATGTTGGGTTTGGTTTTTTTTAAATTAAAAAAAAAAAAGCACCATTTCTGATTTATATTCACAATGTTATCTTCTCTGGAATAGCTGAAACAATGATGTGTTATGTAGATGCATTCTTACATGTTTTGCTCCCTGTGCTGCTCAGCCTGTCTCTGCGCAATCTGTTTTTATCAAGTGTCCTGTGCCCCATGCTGTCATCTACTGCTGCTTGTCACTTCCTTGTGCCTGGCCCTCTGTCACTTGCATTTTATTCCCAGGACAACCCTTTCTCTCAGAAAGCCCCATCTTTTTAACCTGCCAGCATCGGCCTCCCCCAACTCCTCCTCTTCACCAAATTTTTTGTGATGTTTGTCGAATTGTAAGCTCCTTGGGGCAGGCCTGTGTCATCTCTTCTGTGTTTGTAAGGTGATGTGCACTCTTGCAGTACTATCTAGAAATAAATGTGGTAATAAGTTAATCATTAGCTTTCCTTTGAGGCTGAACATAATAAAGGTATTGTTCCCTCCCTACCGAAACTATGTAAGCATGAATGCTTTACACGGTGTCATCTGCCAAAGTGCTTGGCTGCATGTTGAGTGTTTGTCTTTTTCTTCTCTAGCTTAGGAGCTAACAGCCAGATGTCAATTAATCACTGTTGAGGGGGGGAACTATAATCTTAACCCAAATAAATAAGAAACCCCCAAAAAACCCAGAGACAGCAGGTTGAGAGAGAGATGAAGCTCACTTATACAGGCTAAACTGGTATCAAATACTGAAAGATGAGCAACTGGGCCTTGAATGGGAACGGTACAGAAGAGGTACAGAGTGTCGATACAAAAGCCGCACATTTTGGTTATCCATGCTTGAGCCTGGTGATGCTAAATGTATGGCGTTTTATTTTTCCAATCAAATAAAGACAATCCTTGCTCTGATTCCAGTGACGAAGTGGTAAAATGAGTGCTCTTTAGGTGTGTTTTTATTTAGTACAGGACCCATAAACGGGTTTATTCTGCAACTGACTTCTAATAAATATTTGGGGTTGTTCTCAATGCCCGGTACAGTTTGGGTGGCTGCTGAAATATCACTGAAAATGTAAGAGGATTTGGGAATGCTGTTAATCGTGACCCGGTGACAAGGTGCAGTTCTATTTGCAGAAGACACACTTACCCTCAATGAATCATAGAATTTTTAGGTTGGAAAAGACCTTTAAGACCATTGACTCCAACTGTTAACTCTGCAGAGTCCAACTGTTAACATTGCTGAGTCTGCCACCCAACCACGTCCCTAGGTGCCACATCTACGTGTTTTTTAAATCCCTCCCTTTGAGCTTAGAGCCCTCAGTGGGATGAAACGCCCATCACCTTTAGCCTAAGGGTTTTCCCATATAAGACAGCCCTCCCTCTTTGCGTTAATACCCTGCCCTTCCTTCCCCGCCCCCCGAAAAGAGGCGGTTCTAGTCGCGGACCGAGCGCGCCCCTTCCTCAGGCCGGGCTGAGGGGAAGGGCAGGGCGGCGCGAGGGCGCGTGAGGGAACGGCTCGCGCCCGCCGACGCCAAGGGCGGGAAGGCCTCGCGCCCGCCCGCCCCTCGCTCCCCCGCAGCCCGACGTCCTCCCGCGCCGCGCTGCTGAGGTCAGGACGCCTGCGTGGCGCCGTGACGCAGCCGTTGCCGCAGAAACGC